CCCATTTTTATTATTTCCAAGCCTTAGAGCTTGTGATGTACTTATTAGTAGGAGTTTGTTGTTAAATAGAAGCTGAGACGAGGTGATAATTCGCCGAACACATTCGTGTGTATTATTGGGCTTGATAAGTGTTGCCTCTTATTCAGAATACGTTACGGATATGAGACTCCTTGTGCAATGAATGCCCCATTCCATGAGTAGTACATATGTGGCATGCGCTTTGGTGTTTAACTGCTGGTGATCTAGATAGGACATTGAGAATGGGACACAGAAAAACCGATAACAGCTGCATTTGGGCTTTTTGAGGACCAAAATTTCATATTCGGGCCAGTTATGTTTGAAAACCCGTAAAGATTTGTGGTGCCCGAATCCAAGAGGTAATCGAGGTTTTTCGATTTTATCGTACAAACTGATTGTGTTCACTAGGTACCTCTATAGTCTATGACTGAAGTTAAGCATTCATGGCTGAACCATGTCAATCAGTCCTCCTACTATTACGAGAAAAAAAACAATTTGAGATTTTAAATAGTACCTTCGGTTTAGGCAGCCGCATGTACATTTTTAGTTGGCCAGTCCGTGTGTTTGTATTGTTTCATTCTAACACGGCAGGTTGAACTGACTAACGGGTAAAATGATCGATCCACGTTAAGCGGATAAAAGTAACTCAGGGGAATAACCAGAATCACTTTGATTTCATGAAACTAATGTCCCTATGTGGCGAAATATTGGATCGACAATTAGTTTTCAAGCTCAAACAAAAATGTCTAGCGATAGCATTATCAAAATGAACTTGATTTGGAGTGGGCGCACTGAAATGACATAATCTTCTCATCACAGTGGACTTAAAATAGTTCATTTTATCGCAGCAATTGGTCTCAAAAACGCTTGGATTTTGAACTGTAAGACAAGGGATCATCAAGAGGATAATCAAGAGGACCTGATACTTTGAAAACGGAAATCTAAGATTTGGAATGCAGAATTACACAAGACCCTAAGAAAGTAGTCGTGATGCTGAGACGAAGAAAAAAAATCATAAATGGGTTTTAAAGTTCGCTAAACCCCTTCTCCAAGTAGTACAACTCATAACTAACTGGTCAGGGCGTCACTTTTGGGTAGGAATTAAATCGCAAAAAGTATTGCATTTTTAGGATTAATCAACTGAACAAACCTACTGTTCAATCGGATATTTCTGAGTACTTCCTTAAGTGGTCTCGAACCCCTAAAGTGAGGTTAGTTTTTTCATCATAGTTGTTCAATCTAAAAGGCACAACTGCAATCTAATTTTGATCAAAAACGTAGCAAGTAATGCCTCATTATTGCTATTGTTTTTGGTGTTTCGTGGTGAATAAACCCTTCCAATGTTCATTTCATTGAACATTTCTACTAATTTTTCTTCGTTAAACCAGCTTGCAAACCAATCAAGTTGGTGAAACATGCATGCGAAAAAGACAACACACCGATGCGAATAATATATGTCCAAGAACAAAAGTCCTGCCTCGATTGTGAGGCTCGGAAAAAAGTGATTTTGGACAGACCCGTGGGTGAGTTTTTCTTGTTTTTCCACTTGCGGCAATCATACAGAAGCATAGCATACCTTGGAGTCGATCTGTCGCTTAATCTGAGTAAAATCTGATAGGTGAAGATACGGAGCAGAAAAAGCTAAGTAAAAATAAAATACGTCAAAAATGAAACAAATAGTCATTATTCCTTAATTATTGTGACCTATATAATGCTGAGATTTTATACCAGGCCTTATAACCGCGTGACCCCAAATTAAACTAATTTTTAGTAATGCATATTCACTTAGGTGAGGACAATATGAAACCCTGCAAATGTAGATATGATTTATGGTCTAGCTTTAACGATTTCGTATCCGAAGCTACCGAGTTGCCAAATTTCAAGGCTTATTGAGCCCGAAAAATGAATTATTGCCGAGTAGAGAGTGATCAAATATTTCAATCTTTTTATCAGGGTGTACGGCACGTTGCCGGTTCACGGATAAAACAAAGTTAATTTCGTGGACTAACTGCTTTTGTGCCCGATACAAACCTATGGTGTGCATCTCATTCGGCTGTCGCCCAGTAAATAATGTCTACAAAATATAACGGACCTATCTTGCGGCGATTAAGAGTACGCATATTGTCATTTTAGCTCAGCTCCGATGTTCCACCATACATTTCCAGCGCCTCTTGAATGGTCCATGAACTGTAGGCTGTCCTGATTACATTTGTTACATCGATACGTGTTTTTACGCGCAGAGTTCAAAATTACACTCTTTCAGAAAATTGTCAAGTTGACGGCGTTAAAGAATAGGGTTTGTGGACCTTTAAAAAGCGCCCCATTAATTTGATTTTTTCCATAACTCCCAAATTCAGAGATTAATGTTGGTTGGACCTAAGTGACCTACTTTTGTCATCTTCACACACGTACGCATGCAATCCACAGTTAATCTATTCAACCATGAACACAAGCATTGCCAGCCAGATGCCAGTTCCTTCCTTTCAGTAGAGCCTTTTCGACCTGAAAAAGTGTACTTTTTATCTAAGATGAAATTTGAGCAAACTTAAATAGATGGATCTTGGTATGAAATGGTTGTCATGGGGGTATTGGATTTACTTTTCACCCGACGGATTCATTCGGTCCAAATCATAAACAAACTGTTAAATATTGACTGTTGAATCGCTTTCAACAGTGTAACATATAGCTTCGAAGTGAAGTGTACATGACAGACAGTTGTTAGTAACACATGGGTTCTACTAAATCTTGTATAAAGTGGTCGAATGGGTAGTATTCTTGCGTTCTACCTGTGAGGTTCCGAGTTCAATCCCCAATTAGGTCGATGGATTCACGCACTACACCGATGAAACCTAACAAGGTCTCAACAGTTGCCCAATGCTTCCAAGATTTTTAGCTCACGCTTCGTTCACTCTGTAAATGACAAAATTCACCATATGGGAAACTTGTTACTCATCCCACAAAACATTCATGAGGCAGAAAACGTCTACCTAAACTCCTCCTAGCCGCCAAACTGAACCGGGCTTTTACTGTGTTCAACCCAGTTTTGGCATTTATTGTCGCCTTAAATGAAGATTAGTGAATAGTTTTTAATATCGCTGAATGCCGATTTGCCATTCTGTCAAAGCAGTTGTAAAATTCCATGTACTGTCATTATAATTGCATTATGGGTTTAACCATTATTAATATATATTCCCTGGTGAGTTAACCAATTTATATTTTATGCCAAATCAGATATTATCAGATATATTAACTAGATCCGGTTTAATAACCATATACGTAGAACGAAACATCATGAAAAGAGAGCCGGAGAGTATTTACAGTTGCCTCTACCATGCCGACTATCAAAAATAGTGCGAATTCACTGAGACCATTGGGAACTGAACCCGAGACCTTGCCGTCCGGAAACAGGCTAACTGCAAACGAATCAGTCTCTGGGACGTCAATTCAGTTGTAGGATTATCCACAGAAAACTTAATCCACGAAGGCCCGCTCCGTCAATACCCGCCCCACACACATTTGTCTGAGAAAGCCTTAGATATACTTTGTCATTTCAAGTGAAAGCAGTAAGCCTTTAACGATTGACGAGCTAAACGAAAAGCATTAAACTCTCTGAATTCTGCCGGGATGTTGTGTGTATGTTGCTTACACTTAATTGGAAGCGGGGTCCCAGAGCTTCATTAAATCTGTGATTTTGATTGATTTCCAATTCCGCAGTATGTCGCCGACGTTGGATTCGAAGAGGTCCATGTCATCGATCGGACAATCATTCACCTGCTGTTCGTAAAGTGATCCACATGAAACAAGTGGTCAAGGACTGCCGTTGTCGCCTCGCGATGCGTGTGACCACAGAAGTGTGCGGTAAGAAAACTCGTCTGAATTCATTCACCTCCTCATTGTCGTTCGAATGAATAATGTCTATTTTCAGTCGTGTTATTTCTTGCTCTACTGGTTTAAGAGTTAATAATGAAAACTGAACTTCACTTTTCATTGCATGCCAGCACGCATCGGTCAACACCCGAGGGTTGGAGGTGAAGCGAAAGAACTTCATTTACTAACTCTATATCTTGGTATTCTCTCTCAGTGCTATACTTTATCAGTAGAACAACAAAGTTACATTCTCAGGGATCTCAGGGATAGCCTTTAAGTTTGAATTATCTATATAACAAAACAAACAATGATATATTTAGAGTATCAAGCTTGGATTAACCCATTCGATTGTTCAGAGGCACCAGACACTCTTGATGGTTCTCGGTGTGGGTTTCACTCCTTGGGAGATCGTTAATTCCCCACTGTTTTGTATGCATTTAAATGCACCGAGAACCATCAAGAGTGCCTGGTGCCTCTGAACAATCGAATGGGCTAATCCAAGCTTGATACTCTAAATTGATTGAGCCATTCGCACAAGGTGATAACCGTTGGCCGTGTAGCTCAGGGGTAAGGGTTTGAAGTCCCGACCCGACTGATCACGGTTCCAGTCCTGACAGGGACAGAAAAAGTACACATTGCTGACGAGTCCCAAACAGGACGAAACAGCTGTCCAGTGCTCTTTGTCGGTTATCACAAATATTTCCATACAATGATATAATTACACCTTAAAATGAATTAATATTTACATTATGTTTGGGTGTTTTATGAACGTTCTTTGATGCATGACAGAATTTTTAAGAAGTTAAAATTAGTTTAGAATTTTATATTACTTAGTATGTCAACAATTGAAAAAGAATTCCACGTAAGCTGATGCACGCTTTTGCGGTTGTTGTTGTTGTTGTTATCACCGAAGTGCGTTTATTATACAATCTTCAACTCTAATATTGTTATCTGCGCATCAATCAATGTGTGACTCTGTGAGTTAGTTTAAATGAGATCTTTATGAATTATCGAGTTCGATGAGTTAAAGTTGATGTGTAAGTGCTGTCAGTGCTATTAAGGACTCTTCAAGGTTTAAATACTAATACTACCACTACTGCTTTTATTATTATTGTTAGTACTACCACTATTGATGAGAGAAAGCTTTAAAATAACTTGCGCATTTCATTCTTACCAACTTAAATAATCACAACCCTTCGATTAACCGTTTCCTCACAGATTGTCCGGCCCCAACGCGTAGTAATCCTGAGTGTGTACCACATTTGAACCAGTTGGCTATCAAATGGACCGTTTTCCATCCGGATCGACAGCATTGTGTAGGCAAGACCAAAGTTACACTGCTTCCTCGACCACCTTGTCCTTCCCTTCCTTCACCACATGAGCCAAAACAGGCCGCGGACAGATTTGTGTGCAACCCAGAGACTTGCGAGCGCACTTGGCACGAGACGTCCTGGCAGTGGGAGAATTGCAAATGTGTACCACTTCAAGTGACACAACCGGCCGGAAAATGCTGTGAGCTTTTGCATTTTTTGGTCGCAATTACTTTTGGGCGTGTGTGTGCTTGTGTGATATTTATAAAACCCTGCAGCTGTCAATCTAACAAGTACTGTATGTCAAAGATTGTATAGATCTGAAAGTAGAAACAAGGATGTAATCATTACGCATTGCTTACTGCATTAACGTTCTGCGAATGTTTCAGTTCATGGACGAGCACTAAAATTTGAACATTGATGAAAAATGGCCCGGCAGACGGAGAGAATTAGTTTTTGGAAATGTAAACAAACACGCGATGTGCCTGGCAGTGTTAACATCCATTAAACTGCAGAATCACCTTTTGAAATAATGTGGCTCTTCAAGACCTGATTATTAATCTACGTTCGCATCGAGTGATTCCTAATGACAGGAGAAAATATTTCAAACTATTATTGATTGTTTTCTTATCAGGCAGAGAATAAGCTAAATCCGTATGCGAACACGAATATGACAATGTAATGTACACATTCAATTTCATTCATATATGTTTTATGAACTTCTGTCCCTGAATGATATTTTAGATAAATTAATTGCTTGGGTTATATTAATCCAAATATACTGTTTACCAGATGACAGAATCATGAATAATCCGATATTTTGACTGGAAAGAGACCAGTTACCTCCGTGGGGTTCGAACCCTCTCATATTGTCTACCTTCACCTTGAAAAATGCATACTCTCTGTTGGCGTTTTTGTTCAACCGACGCGCTGTCCAAAAGTATAGTTGCGTATTCCTGCATGGGTTTGAATCCCACTGAGGTTGAGACACTTTTACCAATGCGAATAAAGATTCTACTAACCAAGTACGAATTCATGCTTCCACTTGTTCAGGAAAGGGGTTTGAAAGATTAGTTACCAAATACTCACAAATCTGGTAGTAGAAACGATTGTTTTGCACTTTTTATGAGAGCAGACAGAGGTTAAATATGTTTATTCTTCTCCATTGTGGACCTGAAGCAAACCAATACTTAGTCCATGGGGTTGATCAATTATGGTGAATGAACGCGTAGAAGCATACAAAGGTCACTAAACATAGAACTAGAAGGTCAACTCCTCGGTAGTGGATTGATTTTGTCAAAAACTTTTGTTCGCATAAGGTCGGATGATGTAATCGCATAAGCGACGCTTCAATAATCGCCAAACATTTAGCGATTTGGTAATAGTGAGTTCAAAGACGAATTGAGGTCAACTGCATGTCTTGCTGTCATGAGATGTTTTTAAACAGATGACCTTGGACTTCTTGTGGTCACTTGAGCATCGAGTATCGGTTACGTCTTTGATTTCATCAACCACTTTGGAATATGCTCGGACATCCGCTGTGAGAGCTGACGGTTTGTTCTGCCTTTGCATGCCTCACCGCAACAGCAGGTGATCTGGTATACATTGTGTGACATGGAACTGGCTTGCCAGCCATGTTTAACTTTGTCCAATTCCACGAGTGGAGGCAATGCGTCTGAGTTGGACAGCTGGGAATGTACGGTCTAGGGCTGATCTCAACTTAAGGCACATATCATTGTGAATGTGGTCACATTTGAACGATAGCCTTATGCAGATGGCTTTTTGGGTTGGATAGCCCTTCGGGAATGGTCTACTGTGAACACCTACAAACCTTTCGGGGTAACTATTGTTTTACCATGTTCTCCTTAGGAAATCCTCTCCTCTCTTTAGAGTATCCAGCGAAGAAATGTTTCTCGCTGGATGAAATAGGGTTCTTACAGGCTCACGCTTGTAAGCCATAAGGGAAAACTGGAAAAGTGTAGGTACTGACCATTCCATGTCGGTTTTCAGTAAACTGAACGTTGTAGTGTCCCATTGATTCGCCAAATAATTTCAATGCCCATGTGTTCACTGGCTCATGAACGCAGGTTAATTTTATCTACATTTTTGAAAACACTGTGATAAAAAAATGCAAATCATACTGGTAAATGACAATTCACTATTTGTTCCAAATCGAGGCACAAGTTGTTTCATGTCTTTGGAGTCAATAATGCTTTGGTAATACTGACTCGTATGCACATAAATCTTCGTAAACAACATTCAGGATGATAGTCATGTTTAAGAAATATTATACAAATCGTTCAGTGATTACGCAAAACGCGAAAAACATATACGATGAATCATATTCATCCTTTGAGATGATGTGGAAATGTTTCAAGAGCTTAAATGACAAGACCCCGAAGGAGTTATACAAATGTTTGGACTGGGCTTATTTTGATCAACCAGAAGAATTCATCCATTCTTTTGTTGTCGAATCTGAAAAAGGAAGCTAGTACCAAGGTTATTACGTAATGTTTGTACGGCAGTGTTTAAAATTTATTTTTGAAAGTTCTTCTTACACCTTGGCCTTCATGACTGAGTTTAGAATCATTTTAAATTCGTTCACGATATTGAAGGTAATTTTTTCTTGCATTATAATTCAAATGTTTGAAAAACATGATCTCGGTAGCTATTCTCATTCTCACTGGAGAACCTGATAAAAAATTCTGCATATAAATGTTAGAAAGCTGACCAGCATTTACCCGTCCCCCGTCATTTGAATACACAGGTTGCCCCAAACCTCAAAAGACACTATCACCCTGTCACAACGGTATGCAAGTTGAACGTCACATAATTTATGATCTGGTGGAAGGAACCTGCCGGAAACACGTGAATGAACGTAAAGTGCATTGTAGTAAGTGATTCAATTGTTGCTTTGCATTATGTAACGGATCAATCTCAGTCGATTTTCGGTTCAATACAACACTCAAAATGATTGTTGTTAATACCCATAAACTAGTGAAATTTAGACCACTAAACGTGTAAACGTGAGATGCTAAACATGTTTTAGGTTTTTGACCCAAGTTGAAAAATCGCAAATGTACTAAAGGAATATGAATGTTTATATAATTCTGAACACAATTTTTTCGATTCTGACTGGCATCCACTGTGCAACTATGTGAAGGAGGCTATCAGGTTCGAAAAAAACAGCAATTATCGTCAATGCTAAATAAATTGGTGAAAAGTGAAGAGCTAATGTTAAAATCCATTCCCATTATATACCCCCTCTGCGATAGACAATTTAACGCGTCGCACTATCATCCGTACGCATTTGTAGTGTTTCTAATAAAAGAAATTGACCTAACAAAACCCACATTCATAGGCTATGTGGATTTCAAAACTTGACACATCTCATTCACTCGGTTTCTCATTACGAACAACTTCATCCGCTTGTCTTCTGGCGGTAATACACGATAGGCTTATAAATCCACTAGTGTCAATGAGTAATACTAAATTTGTCACCAAATCGAGTATCGGGAACTCATCTGTTTGAAGACTCATAAACAAATGGATATTTACAAAGGAGTTATCCTGTGGAGAGCAGAAACGCTTTCCGGATGCCGCAACGCAGAATAATTATTGACTGTTGAGAAACCGATGTGCCAGGGTGGTGCGTGATAACAAGCTGATGCCCTCAAGTCTTCGGGGATAGAGATTCATCTCTAACCTCTAAGCGACACTGGGAGTTTAGCAATGAAGAAAGCCGTATTGCTTGAATTTTAATACATTCAGAAGTTTTGCTGCAGCAAGCAGTGAAGTTCTGTGGCTTCTTAGTCGATTGCATTAATTTTCAATAGTATTTATTTTCAGCTGTAGACAATACACACCCATGATCCATCTTGCACTGAATCAAATAATATCGAATGCTCTACATATGTAATTGTAAATGGTCAGTTGATGAATTATTGCGAAACAGTTTGTTCCGTCTATCGGATTTCATTTTCAATCTCACAATGAACGTTTCCATATATTGAAATCTACCAAGGAACACATGGGCTTAACAAACCAAGATTTCTTTTTTTATAATTCTGTTTATTATATATATATATATACAATTGTATAGACAACTTTCAGGAGAAGGAAAGTGGCCACCCAAAGGGTTGTCAATCATCAAAAATGAGAATAGTTAGTCAGCTGTGATGGAATTAAAACACACTTTCTCCGGGGTGATAATTTGGTGATTTCAACCACTTGATCATCATGGTAAGGAATCGTTAGGCGTTCTATTACAACGAAGTTTTTGGGTCACCGGACTCCAGTATTCATGGGAACAGGGCATTCTTTCAACCGTTTACGAAGCTAGCTGTAGTAGTGACCTCTAAATCTACTTACCTATAACCCACTCTACAATTTTGTCCGTTCT